ACAGCATAATCAAGTTCTGGGAGGGCATCTATAGATGTCCTTCCAGAACCACACCCTCTATGTGCCCCCTGGGGTGTGCGTCAGGCACACTGTGTGATTTCTTTGTCCTTTGTACATAGCTGATCACAGATCAAGGTAAGGGACCAATCACAGTGACCCTTTACCATGTGATCAGCTGTGTCAAGTCACAGCTGATCACATGTAAACAAACTTTCCGGTTATCGGCTTTTCCTTTTCTCAGCGCTGTCACTGTGTGAGGAAAGGAAAGCCGCGATAACCAGCAATCCTGACAGCACACATTTACACTGATCATCAGTGCCCTGATTATCAGTACAGCCCCATCAGTACCAATCAGTTCCCATCAGGGCAGCATGTTAGCGCCAATCAGTGCAGCATATCAGTGCCCCTTAGTGCAGCTTATCAGTGCCAATCAGTGCAGCCTCATCACCGCACATCAGTGGAGAAGAAAAAATTACTTCTTTGCAAAATTTTATTACAGAAACTTAGAAAAAAAATTTTTTTTAATAGCAGGGTTTTTTTTTGTTTGTATAGGAAAAAAACAGTGGTGATTAAATACCACCAAAAGAAAGCTCTATCTGTCTAAAAATATGGGTACAGTGTTGCATGACCGTGCAATTGTCATTCGAAGTGCGACGGCGCTGAAAGCGGAAAATTGTCCTAGGCAGGAAGGGGGTGAAAGTGTCCGGTATAGAAGTGGTTAGTACACTTTGCTGACACCTTTTTTTCTTACTGAAGGAACAATTTCCTACAAAACTGAACCATAAGTCCATTTTTTTTCAGCAGTCTTACTGCCACTGCTTCATAAGCCTTTTGGTGTCCCTGTTATAGGACATAGTATACCTCTGTCAGTAATGACAACCTCATCTGTGTTCTGCTGAGCTCCTTTAATTACAAGCAGCAGGCCTGCAGGCACTCCCTCCACCCAACATTCCTCCCGGGCAGCAGAGCTGACATTCTATACATAGCAATGTGACAGTGAAGCTTCAGGCCTGTCCTATCTCACTATTCCCATCCACACTACATTCCTGCTCAACACATCGGCTGCAGGCATTGAGGGTGGGGATAGGAGATGAATGACTCCACCAATTTCCAGCTACTGTCATCAAGCTGTTAGACAGGTGTGCTTACACCCTACGCTCTGTATACGTGTTTAACCCCTGTCAGGTTTGCGTAGGAGTTAATAAGTAAAGTAGAAGTAGTACTGATATATACTGGCAGTGACACAGGCTGAGTTTACATTTGGAGTTGGGGGGCTGTGAAAATGATCTCCCCTACCCTTCTGCATATTGTTTGGCAGGCAGCACTGCCCGCTGAACGTAACCTATTCAACTGAATGGGGCTGTCCTGTAACTGCATGCAATGCACACGGTGGTGCAGGTTTTTAGGATTTAATATAGGTGGTCAGGAGGTGACATAAGGCCACCTCCCCGCTTGTTAAACACTTTCTGAAAAGCAATCCACAGAGGGGGACGCTCATGCAAATGAGCCCACGCATGTGTTTGTAGAACATTTCTGTGCATATAAATGCATGTAATTATTTTTGATGGTATGATTCACACTTTGCATTTTAGATGCATTTCGGTGGGTTTAGCTGCAGCCGCAGTTTATTTGCAGGCTCAGATGTGCTCTAGTGTAAACTTCCCAGCATGTTCCCACACTCGGGGTGCCGCAGGCAGCACATGCATCCAGCCATAGAAGTGAATGGCTGCACTAGCTTATGGCTGTGTAAACAAGGATGCACTTTTAATGATAATAAAATGTGAATAAACTCAAGCGCTTACTATGGTGAATAAAAAAATATATAAAAGAATACTGGTGCACACAACCCATGTCTCAGTGGGCTAAATAATGAATAATAACATTGAAAAATTGCTGCGCTACATGTAAAATGCACACACTTCTGAAATATATAAGCATAGAATGGTGATAGCAAAAAATTAAAATTGTGACACCAAAATAATTAATAAATGATTTAAAAAATAAAAATAAAAAATTATATATCACAGTCCAAAAGTTTGTGTTCTCTCGTGACCCCTCCTTGGGATAACAACCACTGTGTGAATCTGTTACAGAATTCCAGTGCAAAACATCCTCCACCATATATCTGCTCACCTCCAGCAGTGTGACCTCACATTTTACAATGTTTTGGTCTGCCTGCACTTTTGGTCCCAAATGTGTAAACTCTGAAGATCAAATAGCTGAATAATAGTTCCAAAGGATGCTCCCTCCAGATAACAGCTTCAGGCTCAGCCATGTTCCTCATCAAATAAAAGCTCACAATAGTGCTTTACCCTTTAAAACTTTTATTGCACATTAAAACATAAGAGATGCACTCACGTTCCGTAGGTTCATGTTTGCACCATGTATGGTGAACATTCAGTAATGTATTATTAGGCACAAGATGGCAGTATCATCCCCAGCAGTATAGAAATAAGTCCAGGCTCCAAACCGCTCCGAAGCATATTGCAAGGCAATGCACGGGCCCTATATATATATATATATATATATATATATATATATATATATGAAATTGCCTGCAGATATGACAATCCTGGAGCGATGTGTGGATAACTACTACTGCTATTTTGATAAATGGCAACGTCGTGACGTCATCCACACGCTCCTCCCTGACGTGTTTCGTCATAGACCACGTGTCTTTATCAAGGGGATCTGCTAACTTTTGCTATAGCATTCACCCATGCATGTGCATGTGGCGTATTTCGTGAATGTGGTATTATTGCCTTTGTGGAATTCGCCATATGCACATGTGGCTCCCAGGTGCAGAAAAGCAATGGGAATTTTAAAGTGGAACTTCACTCTTTCAATCGACATTGACAATTTTGAATCCCTATTCTGCTAGCATTAGCAAATAGATAGGCAAGTGTAGTATATTTACTTATTTAGACCTTTTTTACATTTTCTTCAGTTATTTCCTGGATCCCATGCCTAGGCAAATGATGTCATACATCCCAGGAGTCTTCGGGAGGGGAGGAGGGGTTTTCTCAGCTAAGCACAGCCTCCTGCCTGCATGCCTGAGGCAAGGGCAGATGGGTTCCAAGAAGTAAATGCTACATGAATCATGAATTATCTTACTTGGGGACAAGGTGCAGAAAGGTGCCGTATCAATAGCCCAGATTACCACATAGAAGCTACATGAATTATCTGCCCTTACGCAATATGGCCACAGCCAGAATTGCTAGGAGGGTGTTTTTCAAAGTAATTTCTCAGCTAAACAAAGCATGGAAACATGAATGGATATGTTTGCTTTGAATATCAAAAATAAATGAAATAGCTTTTTGATTTTGTGATGCTCAGTTGCGGTGTAGTTCCACTTAAAGCTAAAGAATATTTGTGCCAGCAAAATGTGTGCATATACCTTTAATCACTCGAACTCCAGAAGGTTTATGCCTCTTCATGACCAGGACAATTTTTGCTATACAGCACTACTTTAACTGGCAATTGTTCAGTCATGCAATGCTGTACACAGATGAGATGTGTATCTTTTTGCACACATATAGAGCTTTCTTTTGGTGGTATTTGATCACCACTGGGTTTTTTTTTTTTTTGCTATATAAACAAAAAAAGAATTTTGGAAAAAAAAAAGAACTGTTTTTCTTCACAATTTGCAAACAGATAATATTTCCTCATACATTTAGGCCATAATGTGTTCTGCTACATTTCATTCATAAAAATAACCCAAATCAGTGTATATTATTTGGTCTATGTGAAACTTATATACAAAATACAAACTATGGGATATATATTTGAAAACTGACCATTTCTGATGTACTGACAACCTATCTAATTTCTTTCATTCATGACTGCTTGCTTACTATTGTTAAGCTGTGATTGGCTACAGTTAACCACATGGTGCAGGGTGTCAGGTGCCATGTGATAGCTGTGGGTCAATCACAACATTACAACAGTAAGCAAGCTGGAAGCCATTCATGACAGTTTTGTTACATGTTATTATGTGATCGCTATGATTGGTCATATGATATCCCAGCTGCTCACAGCGGCCAGATACCAAGCACTGTGATCCGTTGTATCCACTGGACACAGTGGTCACAGAATCACGTGCCCCCAGGGGCATGTCAGTGCACATGTGCTTAGCAATCACTGAGCCTGGCTGTGCTGCCCACTAGCAAATATACTGTTAGCAGGCGGCAAGTGGTTAAAATAAATTCTGTGTGTTCAGGGTAGGGATGAGTTTAGGCATGTTTGGATCGGTTGAACCCACCTTAGCTGTCCTTCCGGGAAGCTGTCACTGCACAAAGCCATCAGATATGGCCAAGGTATTCCCCCACCCTGCAGAGCCTGTATACATGTGGCTGTGAGGTGGGGAACCCTAATGATTGGTCTAGTACAGTGACAGCTTCCTGGAGGGATAGCTTAGGTGGATTCGGACCATGATCCAAACACGCCTGAGCTCAACCCTGGTCCAGCGGCATATTGGATATTCTGAACGCATCTAAAGGCATGTAAATGCAAGTCACAGAAGAATTTGACCTGATAAGTATAACGTTTGTTTATTCTTCCAAGATCCGTTCTCCTGCATTTAAGTAATCCACTAGCAGGAGGCTAGTGTGACTGAGGCCTAAGTCTGGATTCACATATAAGCAGATTTTGGAGCATTTTTTTTTTTTTGTGCTCACTTTAGTGTATTTGCACATTTTTCACACCTTTTCAGACTTTTTTTTCCCATTTCTCCAATGGAAAGCTAGTTATTAGTAGAAGCCAATTGTTAGGTGCAAAATTGAGCATAAAATGCAAGTTATGCCTGTTTTTCAGGCACACCCATTGAAGTCTGTTGGAGCCAAAAAAGTGCAATCATGCCCCTGTACTATTCTGAGCATTCAGTGACAGATCATCGCTCACATGTGAAGGAGCACAATCAGGAGCGGACTGACCATTTGGAAACTCGGGCACTGCCCGAGGGCCCGGGATCAGTAGGGGGCCCCATGAGATGCCCCTGGTACCTTTTTCATAGGCTTTTTTGAGTTTGGGCAAGGACACAGGGGCCCCATGATCTCCTATTGCCTGGGGCCCCATGAGTTGTCAGCCCCTGAGCACAATAGAATAACATAGAAGTCTGGTGCTGAGCATTGAAGGCTTTTGGAAATGCACTTCAAATCCCTCTGGCTTTAACATACATCATCCAGAGAGAACTGTCTGCTTGTGGCCTAAGGGGAAATTAGATTTCAGCATCATGTGACACACTAGCAATCCTGTCGCTTCCAGCAATTCACCAGTGACAGGATTGGTAGGAAACATTCATCTTTTTCTATGGTGTTGCTCTCTCACTGGCCAGACCAGCACAATGTCGCTCTGCCGCTGTTCTGTGGCTGGCGAGCGTTTCAGCCAGTGAGGGATCGAGACCGTAAAAGCACAAAAGCAAGCGATCGTTCCTTGTAGCTATCCTGTTGCTGGTAAATTGCCTACAATGACATTGTTAATCTGACATGGGTCTAGCGGGATTATGGGAAAGAAATCACAATTATCAACCATGATGACTGCAGTTTTCTGATCCTCCAGGATACTAATATCAAAAATCCACTTTGGTTCTATGTTGTTGTAATAAATAATTGCTGTGTAATGTGCAAAGTGCTGAGTTATGTGACAATGAAGAAACCGCTATATAGGTGCTGTGCACTGTGACTATGTACTGCTGTGTTGGCTTGTACTAGACTCCCCATTTCTCTTGTATTTATAATTGCATATTTGCTAAATATTTGCAGTGGGCCACTGATGTCAGCCCTATCTTGGAGGGGCTTGTTTTCAATCGGCCCCATTCAGTACTGCTTGCTGAAGGAGACAGCGAGGATCATTTTTGCAGCGCAGTGGCATATGTACTTCCCCTCCTCTGCCTTTGCAGCATAAGGGGGAGTAATTGGGGGTGGCAAAAACATGCTGATGAACCCCCCCAAACACAAGTGTAAACGAGTACTAAAGAACATATTCTGACATTGAGTAAACATTGGCAGGTGACCCTTCTAGGTGCATGTGTATTAAATGACAGTGACTGATTCATCACAAGTGACTATACGATGAATGTCATATTCACTGCTTTGTAACTATGCCCCTAAATGTGTTTCCTTTAAGGTGGGCTTTACTATAGCGTGTTATCTGTGTCAGAGACATTTAGACTAATTCTCTGTGCATTCAAACTAGACAGGCAGGAGAAAATCAATCATGTAATGGGTATGTATTAACATACCCATTATGATGTTTCTGTATAAATCTTTGCCAGCTAAATGATTAATGATTACAACAGAAGAAGAGGAAACAAGAAATGAATGCATAACATTGTGGAAAAGAGGTACTGAAATATTTCTAGGTTACATAAGAGAAGTACCAATGTCCATACAGATAGGGAAGTGACTGACATTCTTATATGCAGTTGTGCTCAAAATAATAGCAGTCAGACATCACTAACCTGATCAATCACTGTTTTTGGTAGAAATGATATTTCTACATGGCAAATAATTTACTAGCAGGTGTAGTAGAGTAATAGAAATCCAACAGACCCAACATTCATGACATGCATGCTGCTGATTCTGTGTAATTGAATCACTAGTTGAAAGGGGCATGTTCAAAATAATAGTAGTGTGGAGTTCTATTAGTGAGGTCATTCATTCTTTGAAAAACAGGTGGCAATTATTGCCCTTATTTAAGGAAGGAAGGCAGCATATGTTGTACATGCTGGTTACAGTGCATTTCTCTCTGAAATTCTGAGGAAAATGGGTCGTTCCAGACATTGTTCAGAAGAACAGCGTACCTTGATTAAAAAGTTGATTGGAGAGGGGAAAACATATAAAGAAGTGCAAAAAATGATAGGCTGCTCAGCTAAAATGATCGCAAATGCTTTAAAATGGCAACCAAAACCTGAAAGACGTGGAAGAAAGCGAAAAACTACCATTATAATGGATAGAAGAATAGCCAAAATGGCAAGGACTCAGCCAACAATCAGCTCCAGGAAGATCAAAGAAGGTGTAAAGTTACCTGTGAGTACTGTTACAATTAGAAGACGCCTATGTGAAGCCAAGCTATCTGCAAGAAGCCCCCGCAAAGTCCAACTGTTGAAAAAAAGACGTGCTGAAGAGGTTACAATTTGCCAAAGAGCACATTGACTGGCCTAAAGAGAAATGGCGCAACATTTTGTGGACTGATGAAAGTAAGATTGTGCTTTTTGGGTCTAGTGGCCGGAGACAGTTTGTCAGACGACCCCAAACACTGAATTCAAGCCACAGTACACTGTGAAGACAGTGAAGCATGGTTGCGCAAGCATCATGATATGGGGATGTGTCTCATACTACGGTGTTGGGCCTATTTATCGCATACCAGGGATAATGGATCAGTTTGAATACATCAGAATACTTGAAGAGGTCATGCTGCCTTTTCCTGAAGAGGAAATGCCCTTGAAATGGGTGTTCCAACAAGACAACGACCCCAAACACACCAGTAAACGTGCAACATCTTGGTTCCAGACCAACAAGATTGACGTTATGGAGTGGCCAGCCCAATCCCAGGATCTTAATCCAATAGAAAACTTGTGGGGTGACATCAAAAATGCAGTTTCTGAGGCAAAACCAAGAAATAGAGAAGAACTGTGGAATGTAGTCCAATCATCCTGGGCTGGAATACCTGTTCACAGGTGCCAGAAGTTGGTTGACTCCATGCAACACAGATGTACAGCAGTTCTCAGAAACAGTGCTTATACAACTAAATATTCATTAAGTGATTCAAAGAAAAGCAAAATCTACAAACATTTTTCAGTTTATATAGTGAATGTTTGAGTTTGTAAAGAAGAATACAAACACTGCTATTTTTTTGAACAGTCTAATATTCACTTTTCTTCAATTTGTTTAGAGGAACAACACAAATTTGATATATTTGTCTTCATGTTTTGATTAGGAATAGAATGTGTAGTGTTCCCAATGCATTTGTGTGTATGGAAATAAAAGCTTTTAGAAGGATTTTGAGCTTTATTCACTTTTTTCAACACACTGCTATTATTTTGAACACAACTGTGTGTATGTGTGTATATATATATATATATATATATATATATATATATATATATGTATGTGTGTATGTGCATATATATATATATATATATATCCAAATATGTGTGTGTGTGTGTGTGTGTATGTATATATATATATATATATATAATATATATATATATATATATATATATATATATATATCCAAATATATATATATATATACCAAAGGCATGTCCAGACTACCAATATGCTGGCCATAGCAGACAACACTAAGGGCCGGTTCACACTATTGAGCACACAGGAATAAGCTGTGTGTTCCTGTGTGATTCACATGCGATCTGAGTACAGTGCAAAATCGTGCCGGACAACACCAATTCAGTGCATACCCTACTTTATAAAATGCACAAAATCTGGATCGCATGGTGCTTCTGTACCAAGTGATTTCGTGCAGACAAATGCACTGCATTTGCAACCTGTGTTTGGGAGGTTTAAGTTAACATTGACTCCTGCTGCAGATCAAGTTTGGAACGTTGCGTGAAACACTCATGGAATGTGGGTTTACCACCGCGCTCTGGTGTGAACTGGCCCTGAAGGAAGAATTCCACATATAGATATTTTTAGACATAGCTGCACTAGTCCAGCTTGGACCAATGTAATTATGTATATTTCATACCTGGCCAATGCACCTGGAAGCTGGAAATCACTGAAGTAGACACAACACCTCCAGTAATCTCCACTTGCTTCCAGGTCTTGTGCTGAGCAGTTGGCCTGCTGCATTCTGAACACAGGAGGTCAGCCATTTGGCACAGGCACCATTCAAAGAATGTTTTCAACTATCTGAAAGAATGCAGGGTATTCTCTGATTGGACAAGATGGAGAGCATGGCGTCACTGCCCTGCCTCTCGTCCAATCAGAGAATGCTTTGCATTCATTTAGAAAATACTAAGCATTTTCTGAATGGCGCCCATGCCAACTGACCAATCTCCTGTGTTCTGATTGTAGCAGGACAGCCGCTCAGCACAGGACCCAGAAGCAAGTTGAGATTACTGCAGTATTGGTGTCTACTCCACTGATTTCCACATTCCAGTGAAATAGGCTAGTTCATTTATTTACAGTGGATATACAAACTCTACACATCCCTGTTAAAATGTCAGGTTTCTTTGATGTAAAAAAATAAGACAAAGATAAATAATTTCAGACCTTTTTCCACCTTTTTACGTAACCTATAAATTGTACAACTCAGTTGAACAACAAACTGAAATCTTTTAGGTGGAGGGAAGTAAAAATAAAAAAAACAAAATAATATGATTGCATAAGCGTGCACACCCTTAAACTAATACTTTGTTGAAGCACCTTTTGATGTAATTCCAGCACTCAGTCTTTTTGGGTATGTGTCTATCAGCATGGCACATCTTGACTTGGCAATATTTGCCCACTCTTCCTTTCAAAAACACTCCAAATCTGTCAGATTGCAAGGGCATCTCCTGTGCACAGCCCTCTTCAGATCACCCCACAGATTTTCAATCAGATTCAGGTCTGGGCTCTGGCTGGGCCATTCCAAAATTTTCATCTTCTTCTGGTAAAGCCATTCCTTTGTTGATTTGGATGTATGCTTTGGACATTGTCATGCTGAAAGATGAAGTTCCTCTTCATGTTCAGCTTTCTAGCAGAAACCTGAAGGTTTTGTGCCAGTATTGACTAGTATTTGGAACTGTTCATAATTCCCTCTACCTCGACTAAGGCCCCAGTTCCAGCTGAAGAAAAACAGCCCCAGAGCATGATGCTGCCACCACCATGCCTCACTGTGAGTATGGTGTTTTTTTGGTGATGTGCAGTGTTGTTTTTGCACCAAACATTTCTTTTGGAACTATGGCCAAAACGTTCAACCTTGGTTTCATCAGACCATAACACATTCTCCGACATGCATTTGTGGGACTTCAGATGTGTTTTTGCTAAATTTAGTTGGGCTTGGGTGTTTTACTTCATAAGAAAAGGCTTCTGTCTTGCCACTCTACCCCAGAGCCCAGACATATGAAGAATACA